AAACTATCTCCAATAATGCCATGAACGAATCAGCAAGCTCTGAAATGAAAAACAATACATTTAAAGCAAAAAATGATATGAAAATCTGATAAAAAAATATTTTAATTCTACTTATTTTATATTTTTATGTATAGGAGACACAGAGACAGACCACATGTACACAAATGAATGGGAAAAATAAAATGTTAAACATTCCAGTAGACTGATATAGAAATATTTGTATTATTTTGATGTTTTATTAATATCATTAATATTTTAATAATATTTAGATGTTTTAACTTACTTTTTAATTGACTTCAAGTAACTTATGTATTTGTCATTTTTTCATTTTCTTTTTAGATTGTCTATTTATTAATTTATATTTAATTCTTTATTGTATTTTAAATCTGTGTGGTAATAATAATAATATTTACAAATAATATAATATTATTATTAATAATATCTATAATATATAATATTATAACTTGCCTACACGGCTTTTGGCTTTGCAAGGCACTGTGTATATATATATATATATATATATATATATATATATAGAGAGAGAGAGAGAGAGAGAGAGAGAGATAGATAGATAGATAGATAGATATAGTAGTTTTTTATTTTATTCCTTCTAATTAATTTGGCCTGACAACTAGCTGAAATACAGCAAGTTTAAGACTTTTGTTATTTTAAGTAATTTTTTGTAGTTTTAGTTAAAGATAATAGTCCAGTACTTTGACTATAAGTAACGAAATTGAATCAGATCTAACATACAAAAATGCCAGAGACTTAGTTACAAAATATTGCAAAATATGTACAGATTTTAACAGTGATTCCATAATTTGCTGTGCATTATGATTATGTTTATGTGTATCACTGTTCAGCTCTTTGTTTCCATGCCAACAGCTTCTTTTCTGATTGGTCGATATCTCATTAGTATTATAGATAGTTCAGTTCTTCAAAGTGAATTTGGTTTTTAAACATGCTTTATGAAGTTGAAATCACTACAGAAGAATCAATCACCACTTAACGCCCACAGATCTCATGGGAGGTCTATCCTTATCACTAAAAATCACTTTCTGGATGAAGAAACGAATTAGACTTTTACTTTGAGATATCTACTGTGCTCAGAATCCAAAAATGTAAAGTGGACATATGATTGGTTGAGGTCTTTGGCATCCTCAATCAGAAATCACGTTATTGAGTGAACATTAGGAAACATCTACATAAATGCATTGATATGACGTGTTGAACGAAGCTATTGCCGAGAAAGTGAAGAGCCTTCAGGGTGCACTTTGCAGTTATAATCCTATTACTAATGATCTTCCATTGAAAAAACAAATTACCCGAGTATGATAGCCTTTGAATATGCAAGTGCTAAGCCACCCTTATTACCTGAACCATCAAATATTACTGAATGGAATCTGTGAAAAAACAAATTACCCGAGTATGATAGCCTTTGAATATGCAAGTGCTAAGCCACCCTTATTACCTGAACCATCAAATATTACTGAATGGAATCTGTGAAAAAACAAATTACCCGAGTATGATAGCCTTTGAATATGCAAGTGCTAAGCCACCCTTATTACCTGAAACATCAAATATCACTGAATGGAATCTGTGATTCATCCTTGCAATTCGCCATGTTAATGGGGATACTGTACTCAGGTTCGCCAAATAAAGAAGGGAACGGGCTGAAGGCCTTTCCACACTGAAGGCATTTTCACACTGAGTGCGATGCGAAAAAGCGAGGGGAATCGCCGACGAACGGTGCTTTCACACCGAGCGCGAAACGATTGTTCGCTTTCTGCTAATTCACGCCTGCACGCTAGGTGGCGCTGACCAACAATGCATTTTTCCTCAGATATGTATCTCGTAAATGGATTTAACATCAT